CCTGCGCTTGAGCCGCATGGACCTGGCTGTCCTGAGCTACTGCTTGCGATGCTGCCCGGCCGGACAGGCGCTGCGGCTGGTGAGCTGCGCGCTGCCCGCCCCGCAGAAGAAGAAGAAGAAGAAGAACCTGGTGAAGCGGCTGCAGAACAGCCTGAGCGGCGGCTCGTGAGTCTCGGGGACGGGTCCCTCTCCCGGGCCCGCGCGGTGTGCGGGGCCTCACCGCCTGCCCACCCCAAGACCTGTCTGGGCGTGGGGAGCCTGCTCTCCCCCACCCCACGCCCACCCCCAAGTGCACTGTGTGTCAGGACGGCTGCCCGCGCCTGTCTCCTTCACCAGACCCTCCGCGACCCCAGGGCGAGGCCGGGGTCCTTGTGTCTGGCACCCAGGCCCCACCCGCAGCTCAGCATCTGCTGAGAGAACAGGCGTCAGGGCCCTGACAGGGGCGGGGGCGCCGTGGCAGGGGCCCGCTTGGCCCCCCACTGGGAACGCGGGTGACCGGGCCCCACAGCCCCGCCCGGCAGGCGGCAGCGGCGAGGCACGTGGGGCCGCGGGTGAGAGGGCTCACTTTGGGCTTGGGGTGAGGACGCAGGCAGGCCAGACACCTGAGGACCACGGGGAGCGGGGAGGGGCTGGGAGGGGCCGCGGCTTCACCTCTCTCTCCCCCCGCAGTTCTCAAGGCAGCACGAGAAAACCCCAGCCGTCCTCACTGCACCCGCTCTGCGAGGCCCTGACTGACCAGCAGTGCGGCCTGACCAGCCTGACGTGAGTGACCACGCCGCCAGCCCCTCCCCGGAAGGGACACAGAGCAGGGTGCCCTGGGGAGGACAGAGGTGTGTCCCCGTCTGGGAAGGGCTGAGGAGACAGCCGAGGGCCTGGAGCCCCTGGTCTCCTGCCCCGAGGTCCACAGGCTCTGGCCACGGGGGGCAGAAGAGCGGAGGGGCCGGGTCCCCCACGGGCTCAGGTGCTGGTTAGGAAGGGGGTTGGCCAGGCTCCAGCCAGACGCAGGGAGCCGCTGAGCACTGGGGTGGGGGGAATGGGGGGAGTGTGTCTCCCATCCCAGGGGGGCTGCCCTGCACCTTGTGCAACTGCTGGGCGGCCCCTCTGGACCCTCGGGGGCAGCAGAGGAGGCCAGGCTGTGCTCTGCCCCCTTGGGCAGGCCAGTCCGTCCAAGCTTCAGCCCCCCCGCCCCCCAGCGGGAAACAGAGCCGGAGGTCGGCCCCAGAGGGCTGCCGGGAGCGTCGCGTCAGCCAGGTCCCCAGCACGGCGCTCAGTGCGTCCTGGCGTTCCCTGTCGGTGGGCACCCGGCAGGCGAGCCGGGGCGCCCTGGGAGCCAGCGGGCACCCGGCCGGATGGGGAGGGCGGTCCGTGTGTCACGGGACGCGGCAGCTCCGCTCAAACGGGGTGTTTCCAGTGAGCACACACGGGGACCCCAGCGGCGATCGGCCGGCACACCTGCCCCACAGCGTTTGCTCAGAGCGGCAGAAGGAGCAGAAGCCACTCCCTGCCTGGCCGCTGGGCACCAGGCCGCCCAACTAGGGTCGCCCTGACCAGGGGGACGAGTGCGTGGAGGTGACGCGCGGCGGTGGGGGAGGGTCTGCGTGGGCTCCTCCTGACGCTCGCGCGCCAGGGTGTCCCGGGGGAGCCTGGCGTGCGGCCCTGCCCCCAGGGACCCCGCGGGGACGGGGGCAGGGAGGCCGTGCTGCCAGCGGGGGTGCCGTGTGGCGGCGGAGGGGCCTGAGACAGACCCTGTGCTCCCGGCCCCCAGGCTGTCCCGCTGCAGACTCCCAGACTCGGCCTGCCGAGACCTGTCCCAGGCCCTGAGGCTGGCCCCCGCCCTGACCGAGCTGAGCCTCCTCCACAGCGGGCTCAGCGAGGAGGGCCTGCGCGTGCTGAGCGACGGCCTGGCTTGGCCCAGGTGCCGGGTGCAGACACTCAGGTGAGGCCGGGTCTGAGAGGGGCTTAGGGAGGGGGCGGGGCGGGGCAGGGCGGGGCGGGGCGCCCCCCCCCAGCGGCTCCTGAGCTCAACCGTCCCCCAGGCTGCAGCAGCCCGGCCTCCAGGAAGCCCTCCAGCACGTGGTCGCCCTGCTCCGGCACAGCCCCGCGCTGACCACCCTGGATCTTAGCGGCTGCCAGCTGTCGGAGCCCATGGTGACCTACCTGTGTGCGGCCCTGCAGCACCCAGGATGCCGCCTGCAGACCCTCAGGTGCAGGAAGGGTGTGGGGACACACCTCTGAAGCCCAGGTCGGGGTGGGCACCTGGGGGCTTCCCCTCGACTTTGGAGAAGAGCCCCTCCCAGGGTCCCCCTGAGTGTCTGGAGACACAGCCTCCAAAGCCCTGGCCCAGCCCTTACCTAGACACTCCGCCAGACCAAATGTCCACGTGGGGTCTGGTGCCCGTGGCCAGTCTGGCTCGATGAGCCAGCACCCTCTCGCTCCCCAAAGACTTGGCTCCCAGCTCCCACCCCTCTGCCCAGCCTCCAGCGGCCCCTGACTGGCCACCTGCTGTCACCGTGCACCGTGGCTGCCCCCTGTTGCTCTCCTGACACCACCTACCCCCACCTGGGACTCCTCTTCCCTCCCAACCAACGCCCCCCTCGTCCTGTGTCCATGGCTGCAGTCTGACCTCCGTGGAGCTGGGTGAGCAGTCGCTGGAGGAGCTGCGGGCTGTGAGGACAGCGAAGCCAGGCCTGGTCATCACACACCCAGCGCTGGACAGCCACCCTGAGCCTTCCAAGGGATACAGCACAGCCTTCTGAGGCCCCGAAGGCCAGCGCGGCCAGGAGGGCTGCCGCCAGCCCTACGAAGTCAGTCTCTCCGTGCTGAGGGGAAACCCAGATGGACAGGGTCCCTCTCATGGTCCTGGATGGGGTGCAGGGCACGCCCTGGGGACGGTCGGAGACGACCACTCCTCCCCTCACCTCCACGTTGTCCCCACCCACTCCCCCTGCTGGGGCCCTGCAGCCACCCCCCTGCCGGTGTCCCTGGCAGCAGTCACAGTGCCGAGACCCCCAGGGACTGAGTACCTGCCCTGGGTGGACCTTTCCCTGTGTGCTGGGCACGGAGTGACACCCGCACCGACGCTGTCGCCGTCTGCGGTACCAGCCCCACGGACCCACGGTTCTGTCCCCGGCCACTGAGGCTCAGGCAGGGGCTGCCCCTCGAGCAGAAGGCGGCCGGTCGCCGTGCCTCCCCTGGAGCTGGGGTCTTGGCAGCAGGAGGGAAGCCGTCCCCGAGGCGGCAGGGCTGGGCCCGCGGGGCCCACGGGCTGCGGGAGGCCTTCCGGAACCAAGGCCAGGCCAGAGTGGAGAGGGCGGCGGCCCAACTCTGGGAGGGCATGGGGTCAGGCGGTGTCCGTTGAAGATAAAGTCTCCTTTGCATTATTTTTAGGATTGTGTTTACTTTTTTTAGAGAGGGTGGGAGAGAGGGAGTAAAACATCAGTGTGAGTTTGCCTCTCTCGGGCCCCCTACCAGGGACCCGGCCCGCAGCCCAGGCGTGTGTCCCGACTGGGAACGGAGCCCGCAACCCTTTGGTCCGGCTCCACCCACGGAGCCGTGCCAGCCAGGGCGGCCTTGTCTGCCCTTATCTGTCGGCTCCCATTGTGCTGGGTTCTGCCTCCCGTGGTGTCTGACCCATCCTCGAGGGGCGGGGCCCAAGCCCCCATTTCGGGGGCAGGAGAACCGAGACCCGAGGGGGCGGCCGGCAGCAGGAAGCCCTGAGGCTCGGGGGGCAGGCCAGCAGTGGACAGCTCTCAGGTCCTCCGGCGTCCTCTGCCCCACTCCCCAGGGGGCCCGCCCCCGCCCAGTCCCTCTCACACCCGGTCACTGGTTCCCCACCCACGCCAGACAAAACCCCCATCCCCCGGCGCTGGCCTTCGGGCAGGAGGACAGGCAGCAAACCCGCGCAGCCGGGGCCGGCCAGCGCGGTGGCAGCGAGGAATGCAGAGCAAAGGCACAGGAGGGAGGAGGAGGGTCTCCTGTGACTGGAGGGGCCTGGGGAAGCCTAAGGGGGACAGGGGCCCCCAGGACACCCCGAGAGAGTGTTCCCGGCCACGGACAAGCGGGCTGGCGCCCAGGCCGCGAAGGGCGCATCTCTGTGCGCTGGGGCTGCTGTGGCAAAACACAGACTCTGGCGGGGCACGGGCCACGGGGCTTTATTCCCCACAGTCCTGGAGGCTGCGAAGTCCAAGGTCGAGGTGCCGTCCACTCGGGGTCTGGTCAGGACCCTGTTTCTGGCCGCAGGGGGCTGTCCTCGAGTCGTCTTCAGGTCGCAGGGGTCTTGCCTGCTCCCCAGCCTCTTCCAAGGGCACGTGTCCCATTCTTGGCGGTTCTTGACCCGAAGGCTCCCGAGAGGCCCCACCCCCACACGCCGACCGCTGCAGATTAGACGTCAGCGGACGGACAAATTCGGGGGACACACCCATTCAGTCCGCAGCGGGGAGCGTGCTCAGCAAGTCTGGATGCCCCAGAGGCAGGAGGGAGCCAGCTTGCGGAGTGCGGTCGGTCGGGGAGGGGGCCTGGGTGCCTTTTCCCCCTGGCGAGGGGGCGCCACGGCGCGCTCCGGAGTAGAAGGGGTGGCCTGACCTCAGCACTGCTGGGGAGGAAGGGCAGGGCAGGCGCAAGAAGCGTGGGGTGCGCCAGCCCAGGGGGCCACAGGGCAGGGGACAGGGAGGGCGGGCCGGCCTGGACGGGGGGCCTCGTGGGTGGACACGCGTGGAGGGACACAGGTGGCCAGGGCAGCTGCGTCAGCAGTGTGGCCTTGGCCTGTGCTGGGGGAGGTGGCGGGAAGAGCGGTTTCGGGGACCTGTTGCATCTGGGTGTCTCCGCCCGGCTGAGGGCTCAGAGCGCCTGCCTCACTAGGCTCACAGGACCGGACGGACGGGCGCGGGGGGGCGGGGGGCGGGGGGCGGGGGGCGGAGCCCGGGAGCCCAGGGGGCGGGCGGGAGAGGGAGGCCGAGAGCAGAGGCTGCTCGGAGCCGGGAGCGGACGCCTGGGAGCGAGAAGGACGCCTGTGCAGGAGGACGCCTGGACGCCCCCTAGAGGGCGGGCGGGGGGAGGACAGCACCGCGAGAGGCCCCCGCACGTCTAGGGTTCAACCTGGGAGAAGTGTTCGAGGGCGGAGCTGACACTGTGTTCCTCTCGCAGGCTCCCTGGAGCCCCATCTCCGCACCCGTCGCGCCCGGGCCGCAGACGGGCCGCAGCCTTGGGTGGGGACTGGGTGCAGCCCCACCCACCGCCCTGCAGCCCCGCCTCCAGCCCGAGCGGGGCCTCGGCCCAGCGGCCCGCCCGCCCAGGGCCACCCCGAGGGCGGGGACCGCCGGCCAGTCCCGCCCTCCCTGGGCTGCCCCGGGGGCGGGGACTGAGGGGCCTTCCGGCCGAAAAGGCAGCCACAGGCGACCTGGCCCTTGGGTCCCGGAGCGGCAGCGCCCGCCCGGCTAAAGCCGAGCGACTGGGCAGGGCTGCGGTGAGCCCGGAGACAGCGGCGACCCCTGATAGGGCTCCAGCCTGGCCCCTCGCTCCCAGCACCCGGGACGGCACTCCCTGCACCCCACCCCGCTGCCTTGAGGAGCAGGGTTCCGGGCGGAAGCCTCCTCACTTTCACTTCCATGCGCGGGGCGGGGTTCTGGGGGTGCGGCTTGAAAAGGGCCCGTTGGTCGGCCGGAGTCTGGGGACTCAGCTGGGTCCCTGGAGATCAGCGTGAGGGGTCCAGGGCTTTTCCTGGGGCAGCTGCAAAGTCGGGGCTCTGAGAACCGGGGCTGGTGGGTCCACACTCCTCCCACCATCTGTTGGGGGCATCGGCCCAGCTCCGAGGAGGGGGCTTTGGGTTAGCAGCCTCGGAAGACAGAGACCCAGCCAGTTGGAGGTCCCCGACCCCACCCTTTTCCAGGCCTTTCCATGGCGGACGCAGGTGAAGACCCCACCCTGTTCACTGCCCACTCTCTGCCCAGTGACCGCCGGCTCTGGGCCAGTGTGACCAACGCCTACTTGGGCACGCGTGTCTACCACGACACACTGCACGTGAGTGGCATATACAATGGGGCCTTGGGGGACACGCACCGAGCCGTCCTGCCCAGTCCCCTCAATATCCAGCTGGAGGCCCCCGAGGGGACAGGAGAGCAGCTGACCACAACCTTCGTCCTGGACACTAACACAGGTAGCCGCCGCCTGACCGGGCCCCATCCCCAGCCACTGTTCCAGGTTAGCGGGGGTGGGGGCATAGGAACCTCTCTCTGGCATGCCTGACTCGGCCTGCCCCGCCCAGGGAAAGGAGAGCCGGGGGTGGGGCTCCTGGTCTGACCTGGCCTGCGGTCCCGGCACGGCTGCCATGTCCTGTCCAGGGCAGGTGGGCTGCAGAGGGGGGTCCCCCTCACTGGGGGGAGGTGGACGCCACTTCCAGCGCAGGAAGGCCAGGAGCTAGTGACTGTGCTCGCTGGCCCTCAGTGGGGCAGGCCCGCCACTTGCCTGTCCCCCCCCGCCCCCCACCCCCCCAGGCTCCTTTCTGCACACCCTGGAGGGGCCCAGCTTCCGGGCCTCCCAGCGCATCTATGCCCACCGCACGCTGCCGCACGTGCTGGCCTGCGGCGTGTCCCTCGCCCGCCTGGGCCCCGGGGGCCAGCCCATCACTGTGATGCTGCGGTCCGCCTTCTCCCCAGAAAGCCCGGACTTGGCCCTGCATCTGGGGCCTGACTTCCGGGGAGCACGGTGAGGAGGGCCCCGGGGGGCCGCCAGGGGGCCCGGGGGGAAGCCTGTCCCTGAGACACAGCCGTGCTCCCGCAGGTACCTGTACGGTCACACGCTCACTCCTGAGCACCCGGGGGCGCCGCGGCAGGAGGTGCACATGCTGTGGACACCAGCGCCCCCGGCCCTGACCCTGGGGGAGGGCCAGCAGCACGGGACCTGGGAGTTCCTGGCCGTGGTGGGCGGCAGCCAGGCCGAGGCCCAGGCCTGCCTCGCTGAGGCGCTGCAGCTGCAGGCCAGCGGCACCCTGTACGCCGTCCACGCCCAGGCCTGGGCCCGGCTCTGGGACAGCTGTGGCCTGGATGTGGTGGGGCCCCTCCCCCTGCGCCAGGCCCTGCGAGGCGCCCTATACTACCTGCTCAGTGCCCTGCCTGAGCCCGGGGCCCCAGGACAGGCCTGCCACGGACTCAGCCCCGGGGGGCTCTCCAACGGGAGCCGCGAGGAATGCTACTGGGGCCACGTGTTCTGGGACCAGGTGCGCACCGCCCACCCCAACTCGCACCTGCCACAGGGTGGGCGGCACACGGGCATAGAGGGTCCTGTGGCCAAGGGCACAAGCATGCTGCTGCCTCTGCCCGCCTGGGGCAGGGCTGTGCTTGGGGGAGCCTGGGGGCCAAGGCAGAAGGGAAGGCTTCCCGGAGGAGGTGGTGTCTCAGACAAGGATGTGTGGGCACTTGATGGAAAAGTGACTCAGGCAAGGGGACCGGGGGCACGAAGTCCCAGAGCCGGGAGGGTGCATGGCGTCTGGCCGGGGCGGGGGGCGGGGGGGCGCTCACAGGGGCAGGAAGGGCAGTGGGAGAGGCGGCTGCAGGAGCCGTGGACACTGAGCGGCACGGGCAGGTGTGTGTCCTGGAAAGGCTCTCGCAGCAGCTGAGGGAGCGTGGATGGAGGGGGGCGAGGAGCAGCTGGGGCTTGGTGACCGGTGGACATGGGGGGGTCCAGAGAGCGGGGGCTGTGGCCCCCACGTCGCTGCAGGGCTGGGGGAGGCTGAGCCGTTCCCTGCGGGGCAGCTTCCCCTCCAGGCTGCCCACACCCGGCTTCTGGCCTGAGCGGCAGGCCAGGCCCAGATGCCCACGGGGGAGGCGAAGCGCTGGGGTGGGGACCCGGGGGTCTGAGCTGTAGAAGGGCGGGTGAGTGTGGTGGGCAGGCCCAGCGGCGGCAAGGTGCTGGCTGTCTCTGGGGCCCGCCAGGGCAGAACAAGTGTGGGGGAGAAGGCCAGCAGAGCTCCAGGACGAGGGACCCTTTGGCTGTGCCCTCAGGATCTCTGGATGTTCCCGAATGTCCTCCTGTTCCAGCCGGAGGCCGCCAGGGCTCTCCTGCAGTACCGCATCCAGACACTGGGTGGGGCCCTGCTCAATGCCCAGAACCTGGGCTACGAGGTAAGGGGGCCTGAGCACACTCCCACGGGGCCCCTTTCCCGGAGGGGCCAGGGCGTCCTGCCTTCTCACAGCCTGCATTGTAGGGGCGGGGCTACAGCCCGGCTGGGCCCCAGCTGGGGCCCCTCACTGCCCTGCACAGGGGCAGCACGCACACAGCAGAAACCGGGCAAAGGCCACGAGGCCCACACAGGGGACAGGCAGTGGGCACTCAGAGCCCACAGGCGCCCCCAGGGGCACCCAGGGAGGTGGTGCCCCCGCCTCCGCCCTCTGGGAAATGTGTGGGCTGCGCCCCGCCAGGCCCCCTGAGAACAGTCACCCCAACTGTCAGGGGGCCAAGTTCGCCTGGGAGAGCGCCGTGTCCGGCCTGGAGGTCTGCCCGGAGGACATTTACGCGGTCCAGGAAGTCCACGTCAACGGGGCCGTGGCGCTGGCCTTCCAGCTGTACCAGCACAGCACCCAGGTGAGCCGTCGCCGTGGGCCCAGCTGCGCCCGCCTCGTGGGGCCGCCCGTCCACGGCCCGGCCTTCAGGCCAGGGCACTGGAGCGGATGGGCACTGGCGAGAAGTGCAGCAACCACTGGGGGCCAGAACTGGGGGTCTCACGGCCCCGCTCCGCCCTGTGCCCCCCGCCCCAGGACCTGCAGCTCTTCCGAGAGGCTGGTGGCTGGGACGTGGTCAGTGCCGTGGCGGAGTTTTGGTGCAGCCGAGTCGAGTGGAACCCCACAGAGGAGAAGTACCACCTGAGTGGTGCGGGCGTGGGGGAGGGCGGGTGGTCATGGGGCGTGGCAGGGGGACGCTTCTCCGTTCGGTTCCGTGTGTGACCTGCGGTGCCTGCGGCGGCCAACAGCCCGCACTGGCCGGTGGTGTCAGGCGGGTCTCTGGGACCCCGGGACCCCGCACTGAGCACCGTCCCACCCTCGGCGTCCAGGAGTCATGCCCCCCGACGAGTACCACTCAGCAGTCACCAACTCCGTGTACACCAACGTCCTGGCCCAGAGCAGGTCAGACCCCAGCCCCGCCCCGCCCCGCACGCAGGGGCCGCCGGGCGAGCCGTTCTGCAGCCCCTCTCCCCACCTCTGTCCCAGCCTGCGCTTTGCTGCCGCCCTGGCCCAGGACCTGGGTCAGCCCGTCCCCCGCCGGTGGCTGGAGGTGGCTGATAAGATCAAGGTGCCCTTTGACCCGACGCGGAACTTCCACCCCGAGTTTGACGGGTATGAACTCGGTGAGTGGACCTGGGGCCCCTTTGAGGCCCCTTTCCCGACCCCGAGTCCCTGGCTGCTGCCTCGTCAGCAGCTCCCGTGCCCCCCCCAGGAGAGGAGGTGAAGCAGGCAGATGTCGTGCTCCTGGGGTACCCCGTCCCCTTCCCTGTGAGTCCTCAAGTTCGCAGGAACAACCTGGAGGTGTACGAGGCCGTGACGTCTCCCCGGGGCCCCGCCATGACCTGGGTAAGACGGGTGGCGGTCCCCACGGCCCCGCCCCGCCCGCCTCAGCCTCCCCTCCCCGTGCGCTGCACCCCACCTCAGCGCGTCCTCTGACCTCTGACCCCAGGGCATGTTTGCTGTGGGCTGGATGGAGCTGAAGGAGCCCCGGCGGGCGTGGGACCTCCTGCAGAGGAGCTTCGCCAACATCACAGAGCCCTTCAAGGCCAGCCCCGCCCCCGGCCACACCGGCCCGTCCTCGGGTCCCCTGGGCGGCGGGGGTGGGAGCCCAGCTTCGGGGGCCACCGCCCTGGCCATTCCCCCCACCCCCAACCTTCCGGGGATAGGGACGGTGGCCTCAGGAGACCTGTGTCCTGGTGGCCCTGGCCCTGACGACCTTGACCCTGCAGGTGTGGACGGAGAATGCGGACGGGTCCGGGGCCGTGAACTTCCTCACGGGCATGGGGGGCTTCCTGCAGGCGGCACTCTTCGGGTTCACAGGGTTCAGGTGAGCAGGCCGACTGGCAGGGGGCGGCCCCCCGCCCTGCCCGCCCAGCACCCAGAGCAGCCGCCTCCCTCCAGGATCACCGGGGCTGGCCTGACCTTTGACCCCACGTGTCTGGCGGAGGTCTCCGGCGTGCGCGTCTCTGGCGTCTCCTACCTGGGGAACAAGCTAGACTTCTCCTTCTCCGAGGACTCCGTGACGGTCGAGGTCAGGGCCCGGGCGGGGCCCCGGGCGCCTCTGCTGGAGGTGGAGCTGTGGCCGTCACAGGACCGGCTGCCCCTGCCCCCAGGTAGGCCGCTGCCCCCGACCCACGCCAGGGCCCGTGACCCCAGGTGCGTGCCCTCACCCTCGGCTGGCCCCTCTCCCCGCAGGACACAAGGTCTCCTTCCCCTGCTGTGCCGGCCGGATACAAAGTTCGGTCTCGTAAGACACGGTGGCAGCAGGCCCTGCTCCAAGAAACCCCGGGAGAGGTCGTTGCAGATACTGGAGCCCAGCGCAGCCCCTCCGGGACCCCTGGGCCCTCTGGACCCACAGAGTCCCTCACGGGCCCTGAGGTCCTGCCCCTGCCCCAGCGGTGCTGGGGGCTTCAGGGACACCTCTGGGGTGCTTCCTGGGCAGGGCCCCCAGCGGGCTGCACCCGCGCTTCATGGACGCAGTCCCAGCCCACCGTCCGACACCCACCCTCCCTCCCTCCCTCCACTTGGCAGCCACCTTCCTGGGCTCCAGGCAACGTCTGGGTTCTGTGGCCTGCATGAAAGACTCTGCTGATACCCCACAGACGGGGGGCTTCCCCGTGGCCTCCCGCGCCAGCAGGTCCGGCCCGCTCCTTGGGGCTGACGCCCGCACCTGCCGTGACCCCCGGGAGGGGTGGGGAGCACGGGCACCCTGCTGCAGAGGCAGAGGCAGAGGCAGGGTGCGGGCCGTGCGGGGACTCGCCCTGCTGCATCTCTCGGACACGGCCCCCGCAGCCGCGCCAGAGGACTCTCCGCCCCACGGACGGCACCGAGGGCCATGTTGCCCGGGCCCAGGCGCCCTCTGGCTGTCGTGGGGGCTCAGCGTCCTCCGCCCTTGATGCCGGGCCACCACACGCCCTTCCTCAGCCGAGTCGGGTGTGGGGCAAGACCCCGTATCTTCTCTTCAACGGGCTGGGAGGACTGAGCCCAGTGCGCATGGGTTCAAAGCTGTGGCCCTGGGCCCACCCGTCCCGGGCAGGCTGCCCTCTCGGGGGCGCTGCCCAATTAAAGTCGGGGCCGGGACAGGCCCTGTCTGCTGTGAGGAGTGTGGGCGCGAGGTGGGGAACTCGCTCGCTCGGTGCTCGGTGCTCCTGGCTGGGTCCCGACATCGGCCCCCCCACTCTCCTCCCTGTGGCCACGTGCGTTCTAGCGGTGGGGGGGTCCCAGCTCTCCAAGAAGCAGACACTGAGCAGGTGAACTGCGGCGGGCAGGGGTGGGGGGAGGCGAGGGGGATCCCAGGCCTGACTGTCTGTGGCTGCAGGGCGGGGCAGGGGCAGCACACAGCACGGAGTGGCCTCCGAGGGGGCGGCCGAGCTGCAGCCCATCACCCGTGCCAGCACCGGCGCCGGAGGTCCTTGGCGGGGCCCTCGGGCGCTCACAGGCTCTCCCTCCCCAGTGAGGCCCCCGCAAGTCTGCCACAGCAGCTGAGGGGGTCCAGGGCTGCAGCCCTGGAGCCAGGGCAGGGGGCCACTCTGACCCAGCGTGGTCCTGCTGCATGCGCATACCACCTGTGTGTGGCCACCTGTGTCGACAGCAGGGCGACCCTCGAAAGGACAGCGGGCGGCAATGTGCATGGGCTGGGCTGAGGGCCCACGGCAGCCAGCGGCCCACACTGGACCAGGGTCCCTCAGCCTGCCCAGGACACAGCCAGGTGCTAGTGGCCTTCCCCCTACTTGGCTTGACCGCACACTGCCACAGCACCTGGGCATGGGCTGGACAATCTTCACCCCCCACCTGACCGCCAGCCCATCCCATCCCATGCTGGGGACCCACCCCCAGCCACACACAGGCTGACCCCCGCTCCCAGCCTCTCTGTCCAGCAGGTCGGCGCCTTCTTGAGCCAAACCTGGAGCTCAGGGTCGGCAGGCAGTCTCCATCCTGGACCACACACTGGTCCGTAGCCCTGGTCTCTGGTCCAGTGTGGGACCTGTGCCTGGCACAGCACTGTGTCTCCATCCCCAGGCCTGGTGCCGGCTCGGCCCAGCACACACCACACCCCTGGGCTAGGGCCAGGGCTCTGTGCCTCCACACTGGAGACAGCGGGGCCAGCTGCTGGGGTCACCGAGGGTGGGGGAGGCTTTGGGGACTCCAAGGACAGCCGACAGACCTCCGCCCCCAACCCAGGCAGAGTGGGCAGGCAAAGGGGGCTCCCTGGGGACGGAGGGGCCCGGGGTGGGGCGCTGACAACACTGAGCTGCCCTGTGCTTATGGCCCCTGCAATTAGCCTGCCCTGTCATTGGCCTGCCCACAGCGAAGCCCAGGGGACCTCCCCCCGGCCACACAGGGTGTGTGCATGTGTTTCGTACCCTCCCCCCGGCCGGACCGCTGGTCCAGGGTGTGCACAAGGCGGGGGAAGGTGAGGACACGCATATGGCACCCAAGATGCTCAGAAAATATCCTCACTCCCCAATGTCCCCTCTGCACAGCCTCGTGGTGGGGGTGTGGTCCCATCTGTGCATGAGCATGTGGCGTGTGTGCACGGGTGACGGCGTGAGCGTGCCTGGGTGTGTGTGTGTGTCTTTGTGCCCAGTCCCACTGACCCCGTGACCCAGAGAAGGAGATGGGCACCCACCTGATCCCCAGACAGGAACACGCGAGAGAGACCTCGCTGGCCTTGCGTGCAGACACGCGAGCCCATGCAGGCAGGGCGGGCACACGTGGAACCTGGGAGGCATGCCACACATGTTCCGGGAGGCAGGCCACTGAACCGCGGTGCCCAGCAGGGCAGGCAGATGAAAGGCTTGGGTTCCCGAATCGGATTCCAAAATACTCGGGCGCCTCCGCCCAGAAGCCACAGGCCACGCTGTGCCTCGGGGAGAGTCAGAGACCACGGCCAATGGCAGAACATCTGGGACGAGCCAGCCCACCGTCCTGCTGGGGTCCGGCTGGGGCGACCCCAGGGCTGTCCCCCTCGGGAGGACACCCACCCGCGCCCCGGCCAGGAACCAGGCCCGGCGGGCACCTCCTGGAACCAAGCACTTTTAATCGTGAAACCCAGGCGGGGCCTGGTGAGTGGGGGGTGGGGCGTCCGGCTGGGGCGGGGACCAGGGACCGTCGAGGTTAGGGTGAGGTCCCTGGGGTCCCACAGGCAGACCTCCGAGGTCGGTCAGCCGGGTGTGGGCATCAGGTCAGGGGGCAGCCCAGCCGCTCAGTCATAGTCCGAGTCCTCGAACTTGGTGCTGAAGAAAGCGGCGGAGTCCCGGGCCAGCCGGGACAGGTGCAGGGCGCCGGTCACCACCAGCGCCAGCAGCAGCAGGGGCGGCACCACGGCCCACATGGCGGCCAGGATGTTGTAGCACTTGGCCCTGGAGCCCAGGCGCCGGGCCTCCTCCAGGTCTCCGGCCACCTTCTGGTCTCTGGCCTGCGGAGGGCAGCAGGGTCAGGTCCCTGCCTGGGCCGGGGGCTGGGAGGGGGCCCCTCCACCCCCGGCAGCACTAGGTCCATCCACACCTCGGAGCGCCGAGCTGAACCTCGAGTCTGAGGGCTGGGATGTGGCCTGAGGGGACATTGCCCCCTCCCCAAACCGCCACCAGCAGACAGCCGGGTACGGTCCTGAAGGGGGCGCCCCACCTGAGCTGAGGCTGGGAGGGCCCCCTGCCTCCTGGTCGGCCAGTGCAAGCCTCCAGGGACCCTCGGTGGGTGGGGCGTCGTTTATGAGGAGCGCCCCCGCCTTGGTGGACAGTTTGGGAACTTAGGAGCCCCTCTGGCTGCCCGCCGGCGGCCCCCCACCCGAGCCCCTCCCTCCCCCCGTTGGCGCGCAGGCCCCGCGCCCACCTTGATGGAGTAGGCCAGCGCCAGGAAGCCCAGGCAGCACAGGTTCAGGTAGAGGGTGCTGAACACCGACCAGATCAAGTGGTCTCGAGGCGGAGCGCGCGGCGGCCCCAGCGCCACGGCTGTGTGGGCGGCGCTGGCAGCCGTGCGGGGCGCCGGGGCCCCGGAGTCCTCGCGGGGGTATGCGGTGTCCATGGGTTCCAGCGCCGTCGCCGCCGCGCGCTCCACTCCCGCTATGAGGGGCGCCCAGGGCCGCTTATACCCGCCGCCGCCCGCCGGCCCGGTGCCGCCGCTAAATATAACGACAAATAACAGCCCGAAGTCCCAGCCCCCGAGCGCCGCGCCCCGCCCGCCCATCGCCCCCGCCGCATGCGCCCAGAACAGCAGGGGTCCTGGGACCCCGCCCAGAGTGCCCCCGACCATGGAGGGCCCTGCGGCAGCCGCACAGCGCCCTCCAGAGGTCCCCCCTCTGTGCACCCTGTTCCCTGATCTCCAGCGGCGGCGGCGGCTGCTGGGACGGACAGGGGATGCGGACCGCCCACCACAGCTCCTCCCCTGCAGCAGAGGGTCAGAGGGGCCGCCTCCGAGCCCTGGCGGGGACAAGGGCACCTCGGCTTCAGGACAGCCTCAGGCCAGGGCTACGGAAACCACTGCCCCTCCATCTCCAGTGCCCAGCGGGCAGACTGCCCGAACCACCGTCCAGACACCAGGGCCCCGCCTGGGGAGAACAAACTCATTGCCAGCGTCCTCTCCTGCAGGACCCCTTCCCTGGGCCTGACCCCCTCCTGCTCAGCCCTGGGTCCCCTGGGTACAGGGGTGCCCTCCTGATAGGCAAGGCCTATTGCAGACACAGCACAGCCCTCTTTAGGCCCCAGACTCAGGGCGCCACACGGGCTGGAACAGGGTGTGGGGGGAAGGGGGCCAGGGTCAGGATCACACGTGCGCCAGGACCCAACAAGACCACAGGGGGAAGAGATGCTGCCCCCAGACCACAGCTAGCAGGACTGACCTCACCCCACAGCTGGAGCCCCAATGAACCCAGGTCCCCAAAGGGCAAGGCTCACGGGGAGACGGGTTCATCCCCCAACACCAGCCTGTGCCCCCCCCCCGACTTCCCCAGCCTCTCCGTGGTGGCTGCAGGGTCTGCCGGCAGGGAATGGGTCAAGCTGAGGACAGCCCCAGGCCCCATGTGCATCAGTGGCCCTGGAAAAAGCTCCCACCCCACGCCTGGGGTCCCCAAAGGCTGGGGGGCCCTTCCGGGACACTGGCAGAGGCTCCAGCCAGCAGGCCCAGCCTGTTTGGTGGGAGGATTTGGTCCTTCCTCTCAGGGTTTCTGTCCCTCAGGGCTGCCTGCTCCGTCCCTCCCTGGTGCCAGCACACCTCTGCTGCTGTCCCCTGAGGGGGAGCAAGGACAGAGCTGGTGGGCTGGGGGAAGCACAGCCATGGCGGGACCACCCAGGAGGGGCTGTGGGGCCGGGCTCCACCCTGCACCGGACCTGCAAACACCATGGCCTCCCAGGGCACCAGTCTGCAGCACTCACCCCTGCTCCCGGCCAGCCCGGGGTCAGGGAGGCTTGTCCTCAGGGCCCAGGGTGAACTGGACCCAGCCCCCCTCAGATCAGGGCTCAGATACTGGGAAGGACCAAGCCCCTCCCTAGGGCCCTGTCCCAGCTGCTGCTCCCAGCGGGAGACCAGAAACCAGGAACATCTGAGAAAGAGCTGGGCCCCCCTCAGAGCAGCAAGCAGGTGGGCCAGGGTGTGGGTGGTGGGCTCAGTCTCAGGGGCAGGCTGGGCACTCAGCAGGGGCAGCGGCCCAGGAAACATCGGCATCATCACATCCAAGGGCACTTTATTGGGTTCAGTGGGGACAGCTATGTCCGTGCACAGCGCTGTGTGGAGGGGTGGGCGGTGGGGGCAGGGCCGGGAGGGGTGGGGAGGACGTGGTCCCCTGGCCAAGGGCAGCACCTAGGAGCCTCCGCCAAAGTGCTGCATGCTCTGCACCACTGCATGGTAGGCTGCCGGCAACACCACCACCAGAAGAACAATGCATCCTATGGTCCCGAGGAGGCCCAGGACCAGGGCCACGATGTTCAGGCACTTGGCGGTGGACGCATACTCCTGGGCCCCAATCACGTCACCCACCAATTTCCGGTCCCTGGACTGGGGGAGAAGAGACGGTGAGGGGGGCCTGGAGTGGAGCTGGGGAGAGCCAGCTTCTGTGACTCAGGTCCTGCCCTGCTGGTCCCCGCCCAGAGCCCCCCCCCTGCCCTTCAGCCAGATCAGGACCCCCCTCTGCCTGTTCCCTGGAGCCTGAGCAAGTCGGGGCCAGGGGGTCCCTCTGTCAGAGCCCCTCAGCCTCTCCTGGGGTCCCGGGGCACCTCCTCCCCCTGCCCTGGCCCCTCTGCTGGCCACATCCCACCAGGGGTCAGCATCTCTGAGGATCTTTTCCTCTTTCTGGACCGGACATGAGGTCTGGGTCTGCTGTGTGAAGGACCTGATTTCTCCAACTGGGATGGAAAGGAGAGGCCCTGGGCACGGTGCAGACCCTCCCAAAGGCAGGCGTGTGCGTGTAGCCCCCTCACACTATCACGGAGAAGGAGCCCCCCACGTGACTCACACTCAGAAAACTGCTCCTGCTACGGGTCCACCCTCCTGTGGGCAGGAGGACCCCTGGGGGCCCACACATGCACCCACCCACCTTCACGGAGTAGGCGAACGCCACGAAGCCCAGGCAGCAGTAGTTGAAGTAGATCGTGTTGAACAGGGACCAGACGATGTGGTCGGGCACGGTGGTCTCAGTCTGGATGTTGACCACGGTGGACACCCCGGGTCCTGGGCCCTGGGGAGTCCCCCAGTTCACCATCTGCTGTTCCCTCTTGATCATCTCTGGAACTGGGGAGCCGGTGAGGTCTCAAGTGAAGAAGCTGGAAGCTTCCTGAAGCAGAGCCCAGAGCAGGGTGGTGTTAGGTGCTGGTGAGCACTGGGGCCCCTCCCGCCCTGGCGCAGTTCTGATTTATCCGTTCTGTTTCCTGGTGTGTTGTAAGTTGGGCACCTGGCTGGGCCCTAGGAGGGTGGGTCACACCACTGGGGTCCAGTTACACTGGAACAACACGGAGGTAGGCGTGAAAGAGAGGCACTTCCCCCTCCAGGCACCCCCCCTCCTCACTGAGGGCTGAGGTGGGCCCTGGAGACCCTGCCCAGCCTGCACTCACCCCACCCCAGGCTCTGGACTGCCCCCTGCAGGGCCCCTGCCAGCGGCCACACAGACCCCGATCCAGCCAGGGTGGGGGAAGCTCTGTGCTGAGATGGTCTGTTTTCTCTTCCCGCAGCATTCCGCTGGATTCTGCGAGCTTCTAACACTCTCCAGAGTCTGCACGTGCTCCTTCTGATCCGGCTGGCCAGGGGTGGGGGGGTGCTTCGGGGGTCCCCGATCCTGGGAAGACGCCCCACCACCCGCACACAGGCGCCTGGCGACGGGAAGGGCTGCTCTGGCGGGAGGATGGGAGCAGCCACCTCGCGGGGTGTCTCATGGGGGGTGGGGGGAGTGGGGGGGCAAGGGTGCTGCGGGTCCTCCAGCGGGACTCCGGTGCGGGTGCGCCCCTCGTGCCGATTCGAGAACAGAAAGACACAGATGTGCAAGGACACGCGCGCGTGTGGTGTCCCTGCTGCTCAGGGTCCGTGGTCTCCGTGGCGGTCGGTGCTGGCAGACGGGAAGAAGGGGACAAAGCACTCCCCAACCGGCCCGCACGCCGAGGCCCGACTCGCCGCACCGGGGAGCTCGCGTCTGTCTCCCGACCCGGGGCCGTGCTTCCGACTGAGCCTCCACCGCTCCCAGCGCACAGGCGTTCCTGCCCGCAGAGGCGCCGAGCGCGACCAGGCCGCGGGGGCCGGCAGAAGGCACGAGGGCGCTGGGAGTCCCTGTGACCTGGGAGCCGAGGCCCCAGCCCCGGGGCCTGAGCGCCTGGCGAGCGCACGTCCCGCGGAAAACCCGGCGAGGTGACGCGCTTGAGCCGGGCTTGCCTGCCGCGCCGGCGCCGCCGCGGCCGGGCCGCACGAAGGGGCTCGCCAGCAGCCGGCGGCGCGTCTGAGGCAGAGCCCCGACCCGGTCCCACGCCCGGGCCGGCCGGCCGTGCTGCCGGCGGCATCTTGCCGGAGCTGCACGGGACCCTGGGCCAGGAGGGGCGGAGAAGGCGATAGACAGGGATCGCAGACCGGGCGCCGTGAAGGTGGGGACGGTCACCCATGGTGTCGTCAGCACCGCGTGAGACAAACGCCTGTGCCAGTCCCTGCGAACACAGCCCCGCCGTGCGCCTCCAGCGCAAGGCCCGAGCCGCCCATCGGACCACTCTGACTGGAACAACAGTGTTGGCTGCGGTGACGGCGCGGGGCGGCAACAACATCGTCACCATCCTCTCCCGCGGCGCCCTGACACCGCGCTCCACGTGGGTGTGCCGAGTGTCCCATGCCTGCACGGCTCGGCCCGTGCCCGTGGGTGTGAGTGTGATAAACACGGCCCGGGTTTCAAAGGTTCACAGAAGTTGTGCAATTGCCCTCAGTGTGAACAGATGTGAAACGTGTTCAAATTCACCGTAAGTCCCCCGGTGACAGTGGGGGGAGTGCGGGCGCTGCTCATGAAAGGTGACTCAGTGGGGACAGAGAAGCACAGCAGGGCGTCACTCAGTGCCCAGCATCAGGTAGGAAACGGGAAAGGGAGCCTCGAACGCTGAAGCCGCACAGCAGCTGAGCGGGGACACCAGGTGTGCCAGTGGGGTCAGAGTGCAAAGAGAAAGGGGGAGCACAGCAGGTGACAAGGACTGAACTTCTGCAGTCCTCCCATTGCCCAGGGTATATTTATATAAGTAACTATTAATATACGTTGGCATTTAATAAATTTGAATGACGAGATATGCACAAATATCTTCAATAAAACAAAAGTTGAATAGTGAATTCTCCAGTAAAGAAACTAAGAGAGAGGGTAAAATGAACGCACAATAGAAAAAAGAAAGTTAAATCGAATGGCAAGGTTTTGTTTTTATTTTTTGAAAGGTATTTTTTTAAAGATTTTATGTATTTTTAGAAAGAGAGGAAGGGAGGGAGCACGAGAGGGAGAGAAATATCATGTAAAAGAGATACATTGATCAGTTGCCTCTCACACACTCCCACTCACACACTGGGGACCTGGCCTGCAACGCAGGCACGTGCCCTCACTGGGAATTGAACTGGTGACCTATTGGTTCACAGGCCAGGACTTGTTGGGAACCACCCTGCCTGGCTTCAGAAGCTGTAACCCCCACCCCCCAATGGCTAAGGCCGAGTAAAGGACCTTGGGACCCTAAGCCACTAAGGAGACAAAGCTTATCTCCCTGGCTGGGGTGCCACCTCTGCCCCCTTTCTCTTCACCCTGCTTGGCCCCAGGAGGATGACTGGTTAGCCAATGACGGGTAAGATTCCTCAAAGGAGGGATGACCTAAGACAGACACGGTTGCGAAGGGGCGCTCAGGGAAGGACCTGGGGGCTATAGAAAAAGGGGGTGATAGACCCTCACCCCACAACTTTGACATAGCCTGAGTCCTCATTCTGTCTGCGAGAAGTCTTCTAATGTCTCGGCTGCCTTACACTTAAGCCTGAAACAATGCCAGAGGTGGGTGCAGCCCTGTGCTGGAAAGGGCGGATTCCCCGGGGTGATCAGGCCTGAGAAGGAAAGCATAAGACCCTATGAAACCTGCTTTGCTAATACCCTCCATTTAAATGATAAGGGTCCAAGAATAGAAGGAGTTTGTTTCCCCAAAGTTTTATGGCCCTTTAGCTATCTGACCCTGACGCAGAATAAGCCTCAGATTTCTTTGAATGTTATCTATGGTTTGATCATGACAGCTTGACAATGATTGATGAGCTTTACCTGTATTTCTATGCAAATTAAACCCAGTAAAAGCTCACTGAAGAACCGGCTCCTGGTCCTTCTCCTTAGAGAGATCGGCCACCTTTCCTCCCCAAGCAAATCATGTCTTGGTAGACTTATTCTCATCCATGGTGGACAGCAGTGGGCGGGGGGGGGGGGGCCGGGTGGAGCCCCCCACACAGGGACTCAATCCACTGAGCCACAACAGCCAGGGCCAAATGGTAAGATTTTTTAATTTATTCAAATTAGATTCATTGTTTGCTAACGCTGATTTAAAATTTTAAATAAATTTGTATGCTTCTTGTAAGACACAAATTTTGAGAAAAGGCTAGAAACGTTTGAATTTTATAAAACAAAAAAAATATACAGCATGAAATATTAACCAAGAGGTTGTTTTGCATTTATATTACTACTGAACAGTGTAGACTTTTAGGGAAAAATCCTTACCAATGGCATATTTCACAGTGAAAAAAAAAACCAAATCCCACACCAAGGCATCTTATACTCAAACTGCAACAACATCGAAAAAAGATTAAACACACAATACACCTTATCTATGGTAAAATCAAAGACAGGAATCGCACCGAATGCCGGGGCTGAAAGAATTCGGCGAGAAGGAGGCAAGGTGCCCACCAGACACTGATACAGGAAACAACCCCCCTACGTGCAATTCTCTGTCTAGTGAAATTATTCCTCAGGAGTGGAGGAGAAATGGATTTTCTCAAATGAACGAGGTCAGGGAATGTGTATGCCAGCACACCGCTCCTGTAAGAAAAGTTAAAAGAAGTTCTCGTCCTGACAGGTGTGGCTCAGTGGATTGAGCGCTGGCCTGCGAACCACACTGTCACCAGTTCGATTCCCAGTCAGGGCACGTGCCTGGGTTGCAGGCCAGGTCCCCAGCAGGGGGCACTTGAGAGGCAGCCACACAGTGATGTTTCTCTCCCTCTTTCTCCCTCCCTTCCCCTCTCTAAAAATAAATAAATAAAATTCTTAAAAAGAAGAAGAAGAAGAAGTTCTCCAGGCAGAAATGAAACTGCACTGAGACACCCGGACCCCCATAAAGACAGGCGATGCATTAGAGGAGGGATACGTGGAGGGGAAAGAAACTGTTCTGTTTCTACCTTCTAACTGAGTGAGAATGAAGAGTGACTGTGAGGTTACGCGACAATGTCTCTGGTTCTTGCCGCGTCTGGCGTAGGGAGGGCCGGGCCGTGCCTGTTCTTGGTTCCCTGTGCGGCCGGCGAGGCTCGACGTGTCACCCGAAGGCAGGGCTCTCACCTAAAAACGTAGGTGGGGCGACCTCAGCAACAGTGGTCCAGTGGCACCCCCCCCACCCCGAACCCTCTCTGCCACGAGAGCGATGGCAACTCCGGCAACGCGTGTAAGAATGGGACCTGTCCGAACTCCGGGGCTTATAGAGGCCCTGCGCCAGCCTGGGTGTGGTTCAAGGCGAGCACCTGACCTTTGCGTGGGCAGGAGCCTTTCGGCACCGCAACTTCCCACATTCTCCTCAGCCACTGTCATCCGCCTTTGGGGACCTGAGACCCACAGCCCACAACCCCGGTGGGGCGGGGGCCTGTCAGGCTGAAGGCCCCGCCCCCAGAACTATCGCGCTTACAGGTCTGTGAGGACGCCTGGGGACGCTGCCCACGTTCTCTCCTCTCCGGCCGGACTCAGAGCTGCCCCCCCTCCAGGGACATTGTTCAGAATGGGCAGCAGCAGGACCATCGTTCATCCCGGGGGGGCGGTGAGGGGGCGGGGGCGATAAGCTGATCAGAAAGCCGTGGAGGGAAAGCTGGGGGCTGACATGGCCCCAGGGGCCTTAGAGAGAAGCCGCCAAGGTGACTCTTTTATGCTTGTGCCCTTCACTTGTTTAATCAAAGTTGGTTCCTCTCTGCCGCTCTTGCTTCCCTTTTATTTACTTATTTACTGTGGTTCAAGTACAGTGGTGTCCATTTCCCCCCTCCTCCCCCCACCGCCCCCCACCCCACCCCACCCCACCCCACCCAGGCTGTCCCCACTTCCCACTCCGGACC